ACTCATTCATTTTGAGGCAGGAACTGGCAGATGTGCAACAACTATGAGGTAAACACAAAACAAAACTTTCCATCAGGAGCTCCTTCACAGGACTCCACACTTGTAAACAATCGCTCCATTGGGCTCGCGTCCAGCTCGTGCCATTCGCGCGGCTCTCGGTCACGCCCAGACTCGTCAGCGCTGCTAAGCCGACCAATCAAAGAGCTTGCGCTACGCGTCGTTGCGACGTGTAGTTACAATTTTTCAGAAGTGCATGTCAGCGACGACCACGGCGAAGGGCTATGAGTCAACGCCGTAGCATACGCCGGCGTTTGACGCAGAAGTATAAATCAGCCTTAAGTTGGCGGTTCATTCCACTGAGGCGACCCCTGATAAATAAAGGGACTAAGCCGAAGGAAAATGAATGAATGAATGTATAATAATAAGAAGAAGAACAACATAAGAATCAATTTAATATTTGAAGGGTGTGAAAATTATAGCACACTTTCCATTTCTGTGTGAACTATCCCTTTAATGCATTTAAATTAATAAAAAACAACAACAATGTAATTTTAACAAATGTCAGGCGATCAGCCCAGTTTAAATCTCTTCACTTAAAAAAAAGGACTAATGTTTATCTGAATCTCACTAGAACGAAAAGCCAAATCTCCGATCACGTTTTTGTCATTTCTGCATAAAGTCATATCAAGTTTTTAAAAATAATATCAAATCACATTTTCTGAGCCGTTGACAGTTTTATATGTGTCCCACACTGCTATATATATTCTCTTATATTTCACTAAAAAAGTGTAAATTGGCTGTTTTTGCGTTATTTCGAGCAAATTCGCACTTCCAGTTTGAAACTAATTTTTGAAGCTGCGTCATGGTCATGAGATCTTAGTGTGTATTCCTACATGTAGACTGGACGTCTGTACCTGGAAGTGCCTTATTACGTCTTCGAGTGTGTTGCATTAATGCATGAGTAAGGCTTGGTTCAAATCAATCAGCGCACTCTATTGTGCAACTTCATTAATATTCATTAATGTTACAGTGTTTAGACGGCAGAGAGACGTCACGTTGTGTTGGCAAAACAAGCGTGAAGTGTTGCTTTTTAATTTGCTGCAGTGAAGGTTTTGTTTTCATTTTCTCTCTATGAGAGCGCAGCTGGACTCACATGTGCATCAGTGCACGCGAAGCGCGACAACAATACGTGTCTAAGGAACATTATTTACCCGAGAGCTTTACTCATCTGCAAATGGTGAGATCCGGATTTGCTGCTCGTCTCCTCTTAATAAAGACGCGGCTCCAGTTGGTGTGGATTGTCCTGTCTCTACAGATTTGGTAAGTGAGCGACCAGTGCTCTTTGTTTATTCAAATGGCAAAGTTAGTTCATATGGTATCATGTGTACACATGTTAGCACCACAACCAAACTATTACCGTCGTGTAGGGTTTTCACCGCATTTTGACAGGAATAACACAAGCGGCTTTCTGACGCTACCTGCCGAGTGCATCTAAGTTTCCGGGAAAGGCAGAGATTTTTTTTTCTCTCATTCGCCGTGCGGTATCAAACATTGCATGAAAAATACATGCTTAGAGCAGTTCCTCGAATCAAATATCTTGTTTTTTCACAAGGGTCATGAATGAAATTCCTGAATGAAAGAGCCAAACTGCATTAAAAGTCCACCATTTAATAATTTGTCAAATAATTTGATTACTGATGTAACTACACTTTCTCCACTGTGTGTGTGTGTGTGTGTGTGTGTGTGTGTGTGTGTGTGTGTGTGTGTGTGTGTGTGTGTGTGTGTGTGTGTGTGTGTGTGTGTGTGTGTGTGTGTGTGTGTGTGTGTGTGTTTTAACTCTGAAAATCAGCACGTGCCCAAATCGACACTCCCATATCATCCCTCTTTTGCTCCTCCGACACTCCCCCCTAAACAGAGCTGGATGTGCCCACTTTTCTGAATTTTTCCAAAGTAGAGATGTGAAAACACCCTGCTGAAACAAGGGGGTTTCATGGCCCTTTAAATATGTGTGCGAGAAAGCAGACGCTAGAAATGTCTTCAAGCTTTTAAATGTAAAATAATAATAGTAATACATTAATGAAAACAAATTGAAGGGTGGGTAGATTATAGCTCACTGTTCATTCCTGCGTGAACTATCCCTTTAATGCATTTAAATCAATTAAAAAACAACATCATTTTAACAAATGTCAGGCGATCAGCCCAGTTTAAAACTCTTTACTTAAAAAAAGGACTAATGGTTATTGGAATCTAACTAGAATAATAAATCCAAATCTCCCATCACAGATTTTTTGTCATTTCTGTATGAATTCATATCACATTTTAAAAAACAAAATCAAATCAAGTACTTAAAGTACTGTGTGTGCAAGAAAGCAGATGCTAGAAATGTCTTCATGCTTTACATTTACAATACTACTACTACTACTACTACTACTACTAATAATAATAATAATAATACTAATAATAATAATACATTATTGAAAAAATTAAAGGATCATTTCTGCACAAATTCATAGCAAGCTTTAAAAAATAATATCAAATCAAGTACATGAAGTATGTGTGCAAGAATGCAGACGCTACGCATATCTTAATGCTTTTAAATTTGAAAAATATTAATAAGAATAATGATAAGAAAAAGAAGAAGAATATAAACAATAATAATATTAATAACAACAGCAACAACAACAACAACATTATAATAATAATAATAAAAATAATAATAATAACAATAATAATAATAAGAAGAAGAAAAAGAATTGTAATAATAACAACAATAATAATCATCATCATCATTATCATCATTATCATAATAATTATAATACATTAATTTAAATAATCCTAAGGGTGAGTAAGTTATAGCACTTTTCATTTCTGTGGGAATATTAATATTTATCTGAATCTAGACTGATAAGGCCAAATCTCCGATCACACATCATGTCTGTTGTCAATTTTGTGTTTTTCATCATTTTTGCATCAACATGTAACTCCTGCACACATATTTATGCAGAAATATGAAAAATCATAATGCTTTAAATAAAGAAAATAGTTGAAATTTACATTTTTAACCCAACTGGTTGAGTTATTAAATAAGTAATCCAATAAAAGTTAAAAAAAATAACCCAACAAAACACCAACATTTTAACTCAACTGTTTGGTTATTAATAAATACCCAAATAAAGGTTAACAAAATAACCCACATATGTTTAACTCAACCATTGGGTTAAATAAATAACTCAAGGTTTTTAAGAATGCACAGTCCAAAGACATGCGGTGCAGGTGAATTGGGTAAGCTAAATTGTCCGTAGTGTATGTGTGTGAATGAGTGTGTATGGATGTTTTCCAGAGATGGGTTGCAGCTGGAAGGGCATTCGCTGTGTAAAACATAAGCTGGATAAGTTGGCGGTTCATTCCGCTGCGGTGACCCCAGATTTATAAAGGGACAAAAACGAAAATGAATGAATTTATTTACACGGCCATAATTGAAAACAATTATTAGTAGTCCTGATAGTAGCGATAGTAATACCAGAATAAAAAAAACATTTAATCAAAATTACACAATGCATTGGGCTAAATTATATAACCCAAATAAGTTGGGTTAAAAAATCACCCGTAGATGGGAAGGTGCTATAATAACCTATAGTTAGGTTATATGTTGGGATATTTTAACCTAACAATTTTAATAGAGAATCTAGACTGATAAGGCCAAATCTCCGATCACACATCATGTCTGTTGTCAATTTTGTGTTTATCATCATTTTTGCATCAACATGTAACTCCTGCACACATATTTATGCAGAAATATGAAAAATCATAATGCTTTAAATAAAGAAAATAGTTGAAATTTACATTTTTAACCCAACTGGTTGAGTTATTAAATAAGTAATCCAATAAAAGTTAAAAAAATAACCCAACAAAACACCAAAATTTTAACTCAACTGTTTGGTTATTAATAAATAAACCAAATAAAGGTTAAAAAATAACCCACATATGTTTAACTCAACCATTGGGTTAAATAAATAACTCAAGGTTTTTAAGAATGCACAGTCCAAAGACATGCGGTGCAGGTGAATTGGGTAAGCTAAATTGTCCGTAGTGTATGTGTGTGAATGAGTGTGTATGGATGTTTTCCAGAGATGGGTTGCAGCTGGAAGGGCATTCGCTGTGTAAAACATATGCTGGATAAGTTGGCGGTTCATTCCGCTGCGATGACCCCAGATTTATAAAGGGACAAAAACGAAAATGAATGAATTTATTTACACGGCCATAATTGAAAACAATTATTAGTAGTCCTGATAGTAGCGATAGTAATACCAGAATAAAAAAAAAAACATTTAATCAAAATAACACAATGCATTGGGCTAAATTATATAACCCAAATAAGTTGGGTTAAAAAATCACCCATAGATGGGAAGGTGCTATAATAACCTATAGTTAGGTTATATGTTGGGGTATTTTAACCTAACAATTTTAATAGAGAATCTAGACTGATAAGGCCAAATCTCCGATCACACATCATGTCTGTTGTCAATTTTGTGTTTTTCATCATTTTTGCATCAACATGTAACTCCTGCACACATATTTATTCAGAAATATGGAATATCTTAATATCTTAATATCTTAAATAGTAAATAAATATAATAATAATTAAATAAATAATTAAATAAAATGATTTGAAGGTCCAGTTTATAATATCACAATCTTCATTTCTGTGTGAACTATCCCTTTAATGCATTTAAATAAATAAATAAACAAATAAATAAATAAATAAATGCATTTAATAATTTGTAGTCAGTTTAAATCCCATCACTTCAACAACAACAACACAAATGTTAGTTAAGACTGATGTTTTCTGAATCTCACTAGACCGATAAGGGCAAATCACTGATCCCTAGAGCTATACACATCTGTCTCTGTCACCTGCAAAGTCAAATCCCCTCCCTCCATTAATCCCTCCAAAAGCCCACCCTGCGACTGCTGGTCTGGTGTTCGGTGCTCGGACTCACCTGTCCCGGTCAGGATGGTGGACATGCCCCACGCCACGAGCAGGACACTGCAGACCAAACACACCTGCGCCAGCAGCATCTCCCGCCGCTTGCGCACTCGGAACATCCTGGCGATGATGGATTTCTTGGAGACGCTGTGGTCCTGATGCTGCTCCTGATGCGCGCCGCTGGTCATCGTCGCGGGCTTGAATGATCGTCTAATAAGAATCGCGCAGTGCTCAGAGGTCTGGATCCCGAAAACAGACACAGCGGCAGAGGATTCACTGTCCCAGATCCCTGCTCTCATCAGATTCCTCCCCGCCGCATTGCAACAGCGTTAAATCCCCGCACTGGCGCATCGTCCGCGTGCCGTGAAGATCAGCGCTCTCCGGTGATGCCCTTCAGCCGGTCTGCCCGTTGAAAAGCGTTGCTGCTCTACCCATCAGGAATTAAGGACGGGAACTTTGCGCTGCTCTGGTGTCCACCGGAGACACGTGACGGTCCGCGATCCGGTGCGTTTACGGTGTTGATCCGCGGCTGAAGCGACGAGAGAGAGGGAGAGAGAGAGAGGAGGGGAGAGAGAGAGAGAGTGTCTATGTATTTATTTACATCAGTGCTGGTGTAAACTACATTATAAAGCATTGCACTTCTTGAGTGAAAGTATGGTATATGCATATCTTATATTGATACAGAGCAGAATAAAATAAAACAGACACTTTATAGTCACATTACAAGCAATAATAATATACTATTTTATGTTTTATACACACATACATGATTTTATACAATTAAAATCACTATACTATACTATAATCACTATACATCACAGCTATTATTATAATTTAAAACATGCATTCAACCGGAGCATGCGGCACAGGTGAATTGGGTATAGGCTAAATTGTCCGTGGTGTATGAGTGTGTGTGTGAATGTGTGTGTGGATGTTTTCCAGAGATGGGTTGCGGGTGGAAGGGCATCCGTTGCATAAAAACTTTCTGGATAAGTTGGCGGTTCATTCCGCTGTGGCGACCCCGGATTAATAAAGGGACTAAGCTGACAAAAAAATGAATGATGAACGAAGCACATTTCTAAGCATAATAGTTTTAAAACCCTATTTCTAATAACTGATTTATTTTATCTTTGACATGATGACAGTATAATATTTTACTTGATATTTTTCAAGACACTTCTAAAGTGACATTTAAAGGCTTAACTAGGCTAATTAGGTTGACTAGGCAGGTTAGGGCAATTAGGCAAATTATTGTATAACAGTGGTTTGTTCTGTAGACTATCGAAAAATAATTAGCTTAAAGAGGCTAACAATTTAGTCCCAAAAATGGCTTTTCATTCTTGCCGAAATAAAACAAATAAGACTTTCTCCAGAAGAAAAAATATTATCAGACATACTGTGAAAATTTCCTTGCTATGTTAAACATCATTTGGCAAATATTTAAAAAAGGAAAAAAATCAAAAGGGGGCAGATAATTCTTAGACTTCACCTGTAAATATATATATATATATATATATATATATATATATGCATATATATACATATGCATATATATACATATATATTTGTATGCATATATATCCATATCCATTTATATTTATATGTGTGTATATATATATACATACATATATATACACAAACACACACACACACACACATATTTACAAACACACACACACACACACACACATATACATATATATATATATATATATATATATATATATATATATATATATATATATATTTATACAACAGTTCTGTCTGGTTCTCAAATCTGATTGGCTGATAGCCATGCGATATTCTGCAATATCAGAACTCCCACAGCCTCTTTACCCTTTGTGTATTACTCCACACACATACAGCCAGCAAAAAGCAGACACTACAGATTCAAAGTTTAAAAGATGCTTCCTCAGCTGTTTAACTGTCTTATGATTTGAATCCAATGTGGAAGAAAGTAGTTCCACATACAAAAGGGTTTTTGAAGCTCTCTGTGTTTGATTTTGTTTTTATATTTATGCCGTCAAACTGTTGTATAAACGCAATATCACACTCGTAGCATTGCGATATGGCTGTATATCGGCACTGGTGGGGCCTGCGGCCTCGTGCCAATGCACGCCTCCCACCAGTGTCGATATACAGCCATATCGCAATGCTACGAGTGTGATATTGCTCATATATATATAAGGTGGGCATAAATTAATTTTTAAAATTTAGATTAATTTCATTGTACTCTTGGAATTAATCTAGATTAAAATGGCTCATTTAAATTCTGTCGAAGGCATTCAGAATATGTGTGCTATCCAAATATTGACTAAAAGTAGTTTGAGAACGGGTTTCTCAAGCCAGGTGGCTCATTAGACCAGGGGCTCATCTCCTATTTCCAAAATGCATCACAAACTGCTTGAGAAACTGTTCTACTGTGATAATTGGTGATGAAAATAAATGATGTTTAATAAGATGTACTTGTGTTTACTGACTGTTTATTCCGTTAAACATGAATGTTGAACTGTCGGCCTACATAAGCTCCAAAAAGCGATTTTTGATCACCTTAATTCGACTAAAGTCAGAACTGAACTAACAGAGATGGAATGAAGACATGTGGACTATGCAGATATTAGTGGCACTACTGAAGTAAACACCCCGATCAAACTATTATCATCATGTAGGACTTATCATATTTTCCAACAGGATCCACACACGCGGCTGTCAGTAAAGGACCGCACACACATTGCGAAATGCAGAAGTTTTGTTCTTTCCATTTGGCGTGCGTTATTGAATTCCATAACACTCTCACCAGTCCTTACTCCTTATTTGCATCTTATACCCCAGTTTGTCACGGGGGCATGAATGAAATGTTCATGAGTGAATGTGAAACTGCCGAACTGCAGTTAAAGTCAGCCAAAATTACAGAAAACTCTTCCATGAAAGCACTTCACGTAAACATCTTAATTATATTATTGTCTATTAAGGCAAATAACTACACTACAGATGTCCATGTAAGTGTAGTCAGTAGTGTCTTCAAAGTGAGTGAAAGATCCAGAAGGGCATCCTGCTGAATTGATTCAGAAGGGCACTTTTTTGTCAAATGGCTCACCGGCCAGGTAAACAGTTAAAGTCAGTAATATTAGCCCTCTTCAAAATTTTTTTCTTCTTTTTTTTAACTATTTTCCAAATGATGTTTAACAGAGCAAGGGAATTTTCACAGTGTGTCTGATAATATTTTTTCTTCTGGAGAAAGTCTTATTTGTTTTATTTCAGCAAGAATAAAATCAGTTTTAACTTTTTAAACACCATTTTAGGGACAAAATTATTAGCCCCTTTAAGCTATTTTTTTTCTCTCTATAGTCTACAGAACAAACCATCGTTATACAATACCTTGTCTGCTCTCTATTAAATTGGGGAAAAAATAAACAAGCAGTCTAATAAGTCAGGGGGGCTAATAATTCTGACTTCAACTGTACATCTGTGCTAAAATATCAAGGTGAAAGTCGTCACAGCTTGCATAGAATAGACCCAGCTCCCAAACCAACTTTGGGAATAGATTAACGGCAATATTTTTTTGTATCGCCCGATAAGAGTCTCACGTTAATGGCCCACCACTAATATATATATATATATATATATATATATATATATATATATATATATATATATATATATATATATATATACACACACACAAACACATTGTTAAAAACTAAATAAAATAATTTTATTCTGCAAATGATTTAACAAATTACATGTTTGTAATTTGAATGTGTTGCACTTTGGGTGTATGGCCAAACACAATAAATGCGCTATACAAATATAAATGCAGACATATGGTGCAATAGCACGTCAGGGCACGAGTTCAAATACCGGCTTGAGGACATTTCCCTACCCTAACCCTCTCTCTATCTTCGCTTCCTGTCTAACTACTGTCCTACCTAATAAAGGCCAAAAATAAATCTTTAAAAAAATAAATAATACACATTACATTACTTATAAACAATTTCTATGACCTTTTTAAAACCATAGTTAAATCATCATAAATTAAATTAGATTTAATTTTTTTCTGAAGAATCAGCTGGCACTGAAGACTGTATTAATGATCCTAAAAACTTAGCAAATTACACTTTTTCACTACACTTCATATTCATTTTCCTTCGGCTTAGTCTCTATTTTACAGGTCACCACAGTGGAATAAACTTCCAACTATTCCAGCATATGTTTTACGTAGCGGATGCCCTTTCAGCTGCAATCCAGTACTGGGAAACACCCATACACACTAATTAACACATACTCGTACACTACAGCCAATTTAGTTCATCAATTCTCTTATAGCACATGTTTGGACTGTGGGGAACACCCGGAGGAAACACCCGCCAACACAGGGAGAACATGCAAACTCAACACAGAAATGCCAACTGACCCAGCCAGGACTGGAACCAGCAACCTTCTTGCATTGAAGCAACAGTGCTACCCACTAAGCCACCTACACTTCATATTTTTACCAACAATTCAAATAGAAACTGCTCATTAATTGTAGTGTTATTGTGCCTCTTAGCAAGATGGTCGCTGATTCAAGCCTTGGCTGTACCAGTTGGCATTTCTGTGTGGAGTTTGCATGTTCACCTCATGTTGACGTGCGTTTCCTCCGGCTGCTCCGGTTTCCTCAACAAGTCCAAACACATGCGCTATAGGTGAATTGGGTAAGCTAAATCGTGTGCATATGAGAGTGTATGGGTGTTTCCCAATAATGGGTTGCAGGTGGAAGGGCATCCATTGCGTAAAACATATGCTGGATAAGTTGGAGGTTAATTCCGCTGTGGTGACCCTTGATGAATAAAAGGAATAAGCCAAAAATAAAATGAATGGATGTGTGTGTGTGTGTAAAAAATAAAATCTTCGGTTGAATCATATTAAGGGTGTGAACAAGGTCAGGTATTTGTGCGTGTGTGTCATGTTTTTTTAACATACTTTGATAGTACCAACATAATGACCTTGAAGGTTTCAGACATGCATGATGCACCGTCTAGACACATGAGATCAACACGTCATGCTTCATACAGCTCATAACTCTTCTGTGTGGTGTTTATGAGCCTAGAATAAAACAGCCTTCTCTGTTCGTGCGGTAGATTTATTTTAGATGTGCATATACAAACAAAACACTCTATTTAAAACAAGAAAGATGAATATTTGAATATCAAATCAATCATTTAAAAAAACAAAAACCTTTCAATAATGATTTCCTAATGCAGCTGTGAAGGACAAACACACACTTACACACATGTTGGTATTGGTGGTATGCAGGGACTCTCCCTAAAGGTATTTTAGGGTGCTTTCACACTTGCCTCATTTGTTCATTAATTTTCCTTCACCTTAGTCTTTAATTCAAAAGTTGCCACAGCGGAATGAACCGCCAACTATCCCAGCATGTTTTAAGCAGCGGATGCCCTTCCAGCTGCAACCCAGTACTGGGAAACACCCATACACTCTGGAATTCACGCACATACACTAAGGCCAATTTAGTTGGTTCAATTCACCTATAGCACAGGTGTTTGGACTTTGGGGGAAACCAGAGCACCCAGAGGAAA